TCATCTAGCCTGTAACTTCACGTTCTCCACTCACTCTCGTCCAGCGAAAAATTACGGCCAGCCAACTCGTAAACTAGCGAGGGTTTCGTTGCCGTATAGTCTTGATACTTTCAGGTGCGAGTTGTACGCCAGGGATTCTAGGTCAGCTCCGAGCTCGTCATAAGATAATGTGCTATACGTGACGCTAATAGGCAAAAAATAGGGTTCTTTCCTCGTATTCTTGCTACGAAATCTTTCCTTGTTTCCTCGATACGAAAACTATCGTTAATGAAGAACCATTTTACCAAATACAAAAGAAAAACATTGGCAGATCCCACGTACAGTGAGAATCGATGATATGCGACGCACGAATGAGGAAGTTTGAAATGTCACTTCAAAATCTGCACATCGTTACGAGGTGGACGGATGTAGCATACAGTAAACACTAGTAGAAATGTTATGAGCACTCAGATATCTTTAAGATGAAAGTGTGTTGTTTATAGATGCGTGACGACGGGGCCACTTAACGTTACATGTCGTGATTCACATGTTAGGACCTAGCTGTAACTCGTGTTCGTAATACAGTGACGTCACTAGATGGCTACTAATGAACCCGCTGCAAGCGCACTATGAGCGTCGCATGCTAAATTATGCCGTAAATGACTTCAGCGTCATAATTATCATGTTTCCGCCCAGCATTTGTGATGGTCGTTCATTCACATCACGTAATATCAAATTTGGTATATGTGAAGCCAGCGAAACGACCACGAGCGCACTATGAGCGTACCATGAAGTCATGTTTTACATGCCTGACACGCATGTCATGATTATCATGTTTTTCCGCGTCATTTACTTACGTCGTCTATTCACGTCACGGGAAACCAAACTTGGTACATGTGAAGCTAGCGAAACGGTCGCGAGCGCATCGTGAGCGTGGTATGCAGTGATGTTCCTAGACAACACGCATCTCATGATCGTCATTACACCAGTCACATATCTCCGTCATCCATTCCCGACACGTAGCACAAAGTTTTGTATACGTTTGACAGTTATTGTATGTCAGTTATTATCAACAGCTTAATTGTATACCTATGAGATCCCAGAACTACATTTCTGCTAATTTTTCTGTTTTGTCTTTGCTTGGTTTTTTACATGCTTGTTGAACTTGTATGTTCACCTGCTATATATAGTCTCGGAAAGAGACTGGTAGTATTCGAAATAAATAAATATGTAAGGCTAGCAAAACGGCCGCATGCGCATCATGAGCGAGGCATGTAGTCATGTTTACTTTACATGCAGGTCATGATTATCATGTTCAGATGTGTCATTTATCTTCGTCGTCCGTTCGCGTCACGTAAAACCAAATTTGGTATATGTGAAGCTATAGCGAAACGACCGCGAGCGCACCATGAGCGTGGCGTGTAGTCATGACTTACGTGACATACTACGTGTCATGATTTCTACATTACGACCGGTCACTTATGTTCGCCATGCAGTCATATCATGCCATACCTGTTTCGCAATGTCATGTGAACGAAACCACTGGCAGAGAAGAAAGACCATGGCATATAAATCATGAAATTTATGACAACCATCTCATGATTTGCATGTTACGACTAGGAACTCACGCTCGTCATACAGTCATGCTACGCCATAAAATAGCGCTACAATTGCTGCAGAAAGCGAAGTTAGGGAGGAGACGAAAAAAAAAAGTGGACAGTACAAGCGCTTGTACTGTCCACTTCTTTTTCGTCCCCTCCCATGAAAAACCAACTATTACAACACAACACCTCATTTTGCTTTGATATAGATCCCATCATCGAAACGGCCAGGAGAGCCAAAAGTTGTAGACGACTTGACAGACAGACAGACAGACAGACAGACAGACAGACAGACAGACAGACAGACAGACAGACAGACAGACAGACAGACAGACAGACAGACAGACAGACAGACAGACAGACAGACAGACAGACAGATAGATAGATAGATAGATAGATAGATAGATAGATAGATAAGATAGATAGATAGATAGATAGATAGATAGATAGATAGATAGATAGATAGATAGATAGATAGATAGATAGATAGATAGATAGATAGATAGATATGGTGAAAGTCGTCATAGTTCGCTAAGAAATGTTTCGCATTTAGAAACAAAATCATCATCGTTCAAACCATAAAGCGTACAGAACGGCCTTAAATCACCCACGGGGAATCCATAGTCTATACTTGCTGGCTGGAGATTTTTGGCTACGTCGTACCACGTCTGTACTTGAACATATGGACCATGGGTTAGGCTTCAGATTTCAGAACGCAGTACAGCACCATGCGGGGCTGTAACTTGTTCAACTTGTGAGGCACCTCAAACTCTACCCCCAGGGTTTTGCCAAAGCTGACTTTCCCGCAACAATGGTGTGTTTAAGGAGAAGCCCTCTATCATTCATGCGGAATCGGTTAATTTCGTCGTTACCCTATGTTTTCGGAAGAGATTATTGGTAAATTTTCGTGTGTTTCGAGAACATAAGTGACGCTGCCTTTAACATGAATAAGTAAGGAATGAGAAAATTGCGCAACAATGTGGATTTTTGTGAGTGTTCCTGTTTGCTTTTCCGTGGTTTCAGTTGGTCGCATGCCCGCGTGTTCACGTTTCAAGTATTTCGATTCAGTATATTGACGCTTTCATATTTCCCCAACAAATTTTGGCTAACCTCCCTGTCCTTCCTCATTTATTCCTCCTCCCAACAAATTTTCCCGTGTCAAGCTCACCACTTTAGAAAGGTGTTCATTCTTGATTCAATTCCTGGACGAGCACAACTTTTTTTTAATGCGATCTGCGAAGTTTTCCCACGTACAAGGGTTAGAACACGCAAACGTTTCAATGCCTAAATAGACATCTCTGTCAGCAGAGGCAGCCGTAAGTGCATTTATTTTTTTTCCCACCATCCCGCATCGCACATGTTCTACTTCGCGGCTGTCAGTCAACAAGGTCAAAAGGATCGAGTTTTCCATTAATAGCTTCCTTACTTCTTTTATTTTTCTTGTGGCACTACAGTGAGGACAGGTTGTGACGCAATCGACTTTAACTACGCAGATGCCGTAACGTTTTCCCGCGTCGCTCCACAACAGAAGGAAACGGTGTACCTGAACTTCCGGTGAGAGCGACGTGATTGCGAGGCAGCTTCGACAATGACCGGAAGGTTCTTGCACTCCCCTCTCCCTTTCTTCTCCCTCGCAGTCAAAGTAAGCTTAAACATTTTAAGAATAATCTTCGTTGAGTGTATACGCGATCTCTGGGCAGTTCGTATGACCTCTGTCATTGTGGTATAATTTCACGCCATGCTTGATAAATATGTAGCACTGTTAGCGAACTATTGTCTCTTTTATTCACATTTTATCTTACTTGCCACTCCTAGCCTAGCCTAGCCTAGCCTACACACACACACACACACACACACACACACGCACGCACACGACTTCCATTATTATAAACGGCACTCACAAATCATCAGCGAAACCTCCACAGATCTTCGTGGCCGAGTTGTTCTGAGAAGAAATAATAAGGAGGTGGGACAGCTGCAAATTTTAATTACGAGACAACGCTCACCGTGCTCTATACGGGAAAGAGAAAAAGGGGGGCTGATAATGAAAGACGCAGAAATGGTAAGTTAAACATTGATGACAATGTTCAAAAGAGCAAGAACATACGAAGTCTATAAAATAGTACAACTCCTACTGAAATAAATAGTCTATGTTCGTTTCTCATACGGGAAACGATGGCAAGTAAAAAAGAATCACGGTATCGGCGTTTACACACCACAAAACCGCACGAATGTAGGCTCGGAAGCCGCTAAGGGGTAAATCTTAACACCAAGAAAAATAAGTAAAGATAAAAAGTGGTGAATGTCAAAAAAGGACATGTCATATATATATATAGATATATATATATATATATATATATATATATATATATATATATATATATAGATATATATATATATATTCGAGATATAACAGACAGTAATGCCAAGGAATGTACAGGGGAAGTTATTAGAACCAATGGAATGTAAATAAGAAGAAAAAAGAAAGAAAAGTGGATGAAAAAATTACCAGCTGTGAGCATCGAACGCGTTATTCGAAGGTCGTAGGTTCGTTTCTGCTCACAGCTGGTAATTTTTTCATCCACTTTTCTTCTTTTTTCTTCTTATTTAACATTCCACATTGGTTCTAATAACTTCCCCTGGTACATTCCATTGGCATGACTGTCTGTTATATCTCATTAATATTGTGTTAAAAAACAGGAAATACGAGCCTTAAGGTATACCTACTTCTTTCCTTATATATTATATATATATATATATATATATATATTATATAGTTAGATAGATATTAATATATGAATGTCAAGAAAAAGGACATGTCATATATTTATAAGTCGTGCGTGTGTGTGTGTGTATGGTGTGTAATTGTGTGTGTCGTATGTGGGTATGTGGTGTGTATGGTGGGTATATGTGTGTATATGTGTGTGGTGTATGGTGGTTGGTGTGTAATGTGTGGTGTAAGTGTGTTGTGTGTGCGTGCGTGCGTGCGTGTGTGTGGGTGTGTATGTGTGCGTATGTGTGTTGGAATGGTGTGGGTAGATGTGTATATGTGTGTGTGTGTGCGTGCTTCGGTGCGTGTGTGTGTGGTGTGGTGCGTGTGCGTGTGCGTGTGTGTGTGTGTGTGTGTGGGTGGTTGTGTGTTGTGTGTGCGCGCGCGCGCGCGCGCGAAAGCAACAGCGCTACTAGCTAGGTCCCGGGCGTAGGTATTTTTATCTTTGCCGCCCTTCGGGGCAGCCGTCAAACGGAACGGCGTCGTCTGCTCCACGCGACGCGCTCGCGCTCATCATTGGTCGGACGAGGTCTCGTGACCCCACGACGCAACGCAGGACGTTTTTGCCTTCCTCCTCCGTCAGCGCAGCACTCGCTTTCGCGGCGGAAGAGTACGGTGCCTCTCACTCCCTCTGAACTGCCGGCGGTTGGCTCTGCTCCCGCCCCTCCGCAGCGTGACAGCAGCCAGCGGGCGCCAGCGAGAGGGTCGACTTTTTAAGCGTGGTCGCGGGGGATTCCTGCCAACAGTTTCGCTTTTCATGCTGCCGACGAGCCTAGCCGCACGGGGCTTGTTCTCTGAGAGGTCGCCCTTTCGAGTGCACGACAGCGCGACGTTCGCAGCGCAACTCACGTCACCTCCGCCGCCGTGCCGGGACTTTACGCGACTACCATGCAGCCGGCACCGAGTTCTGTCCTAGTGTTCGCCGTTGTGGTCACTTTGGTGGACAGAGGTGAGAATGCATGCGTTTCGCACACGCGCGCGTGTTTACGTCCGAGACCGGTGGTCAGTTGTTGCTTTGGGCGTCCGGCGTGCGCTGCCGCGTGTTGCCTCCCCCCCCCCCCCCCCCCCCCCTCCGAAAACGATGGCTTGCTGTGAGACGTGTGACTGTACCACTTAGCACACCTGAGAAGCAACTCTGTTCCAGGAGGCCAAGGCACTTCTTTGCGCGCGATGAAACCGGTGCATAGAGGCTGGATTCGCGAAACATTTTTTTTTTTTTTTGCAACGGATGACACAGTGATGAAGGGAAAATGCTGTCAGCCATGTACTTCGATTAGCATTCAGGAATCAGCCATCCCGGACTGAGAGAAATTTCATTCGCATTTGGCTTGATCGGAAATTGAAGTACACTGTGTGGTACACGTGTTTGAAAACACTTGAAAATAACCTTCACTGAGGAGTGGTGGTGAGTGACGAAATGACATTAGTGAACCTCGAAGCGTAAGTGACATTTCGAAAAACCCTGCAGGTGAGACTGCAGCAATGATTGTGTCAAGGAGATGGATTGTGTGACAATGCGATTCAATCACCAAGCGCCATTTCTCACAAAAGGTGGCCGGATTTTTCGTCTTACTGTCACTTAGCCCAGCGCACTTTGCACGCAGCTGCATCTTAGTTGTTTACGATTTGTATAATTGCGGATAATAATCATACACGTGTTACCTTAGTTGACATTAATGAGGCACTTATAAGACTGACGGCGAAGCCGAACGGAGAATCCACAACTCCCCCCATCTCGGAAGAGACAAATTTTTTACGGCGTAATGATTAGTTGTAGAAACGAAGTACCCAAATTAAACATACGCGCATTTTTTTTTTCAGTCCGACTAATACGCGATACACGTGGTCGGCAAAAAAGAAAAGAAAGAACAGAAATCACACGGTATTAGTCAGGCAAGCTTACATCAAACGACAATTAGGCACCTCCGCTGAATATTACAAGAAAAAAAAAACAAGAAAAGAAAATTGTGACGTGATGTCTTCGCTCGTTTCGATCGGTCACACCAAGTCTCCATTTCGCGTCGCAGATGTGTACACCACGTTCGAGAAATGTGTACAGAAGGGCACCCGACTACGTCTAAATTCTGCTATCGGTGACCACACGTACGTGAGCGAAGCGCTAACGCTGAGGTCGCAATGTTGTAAGGTCGCGGTTCCTAAATGTAAGGCCTTCCCGACGCGTTGTCTGTGCATTGCGCCCCTTTCACGCCGAATGTTTGCCCAACCGTGACACATATGCCGGAAGGCGTTGATGTTGTATTTGCCTCGATTATCATCACCTTGCGGCTCATATTCAACTAGTGGCGGTGATTGGGGAAAGAGCTGGGTAGAGAAAAGAAGGGTGTTAGGGCCACCTGAAGGTCGTATTGAACTTTTTTGAATGGAAGTGGCTTATTCGATAGGCCAGGTTGCTTCCGCTTCGTACCTTCTTGTTCGCTCTAGCGCGCTCCATTCTTTCTTTTCATTTCAGCCTCCCTTCAGTGTAGGGTAGCAAACCGTATGATGTCATTTTACGTGACCTCCTTGCTCTTTTGTCAATTTCCATCAAGGATGCACCAATTATCAACAAGTTCCTTCGGGATAGGAAGGCGTATAACTGAGAACTTTTGCACTTTTATTGACCATGTCTGCTTTTATTTGGGGGGGGGGGGGGGGGGGGATAGCTGTCTCCTCGTGCTCCCTCTTGTGGCGCTGCCCCTGGTAAAGTGAAGTTTCTCTCTCACTCTCTTTCCGATAGTCAACTCGTGGTGAAACCGCTTGTTCCTGGCCCATAGGCCGATTTGGCCTATGGCAAAATTTGTTGCCACGACAATAGCGCGAAAGATGGCACGAACAATTGCGGACGCCGTCATCAACCACTGCATCAGCCAGCGTTTCTTAGTTCTGAGTGACCCGCGTGTTTCACCTTTTGATTTATTTAGTTTTTTAAAATTTTTACACCTTTGCTGCCCCGCCACATAATTTTTCACTACCATATGTATGCAGTCTTCGGGACCTGTCATCACAACTTTTCTCTCGTCTCAAAAATTTTTTTTTCTTCTTATCTTCAACTCGGTTACATTTTGCTGTCTCCTTCATAAAACGCATAGGCCATCGTAGTGCTCTTCCTGTACCAGTTCTCAGCCTGCCCCTTCCCAGCTTACTTTTTTTTCTTTGTTGCATGTGTGTGTTTTTTATGTCATGTCACAATAACGACCACTGTTATATGACTATACTGAAATACTACAAGAATTAGCTCGAGGTGGCATGTTAACTCATCGGTAATAGCTCAAGGACCGCGAGATTTTAGAAAAAGCTGAATATTCCTGCTGTTTGGGCTGGCAACCTTGAATTTAGGTTTCCGGACTGTCCTGCCTGTAAAACGGTCTATCGACGTGTACTGTGTACGTCCTACGAATACCGGATGCTACAATTCTGGCTGACATGCCTTACTTTCAATTTATTCTCTCTCTCTCTCTCGACCGAATACAATCTCAAATTGCTGAGAAATGCGAAATTTTTTTTTGAGATCTAGCGATCTGTAAATTTCTGATGCCGGCTGTACAACTAACTTTACCCGGGCTGTCTGCAGTGACCTGAGGTGACCCGGCGATGTTCCGCAGAAATTCGGTTTCCGAGTTCGAATGCTGTTCTCGATAATGTTCATCGAATGGCAACGACGTCCAAGTAACCATGAGGCGACAAATGATTTGACATGATTGATGTGCGCAGAAATCGAGGGGACCAAGTTCGACCACAGCCCCCCTCCCTTCTTCAATTCTTTGGTCGAGTTCGAAAGAGAACTATCTCCACGATGCATGCAGAAGCAAAAATAAAGCAACAATATGCTTCTCACAAAAACCTGCCATCGGCACCCGGCTTCGCAAGGAAGTCAGTCATTGAATGTAGATTAGATATAAATTGTCGTGAAGAGTCGATTCCCCGTGGGAGGAAACTGATTTTGAATGCAACACAGGAGGGTGGGGTTCTTCGTCGCCGTCATTGTAAAAAAAAAAAATACTGTAGCCATACACTCTAAAAAAGAGCGAGTAAAAAGGGTGTCTTTTTGTCCCACAACAATAATCGTCATCTATATTGCGTTCCATCCTTGCGCTATCGCCCGGCTCCCGGTACATTCCGGTCACGATCGACATGCCCATTATCACGGTTACATTGCATTCGCGATAGGAAAGTGGCCAGAGCGGAGTTTTCAAGAAAGGAAGCCCACGCAAGCCTGATGACGATTATTGTTGTGGGACAAAAAGACACCCTTTTTACTCGATATCTTTTTAGAGTGTAACCCTGCACCATAAAAAAAATGACGTAAAAGCTCTGAGGGAGTTAAGGCACTCCATTCAGATGACTCAAACGTGGCATCTCCATCTGAATGACTCAAATGTGAGGGTGGGAGGGGGGGGGGGGGGGTCCCCTTGTTTTCTCCCGTGCTAGCGCATATGTTCTAGACTAATACTATCCGCGACAATTATGCAACACACAAGGAAAGTATTGATGAAAATGCGTTCACGAAAATAGACCGGTGCGCGTCGACGTCTGTCGAGCGATTACGGCTATTTTTTCTAGTCGAAATTATAGCTTTTCCCTGTTCACCACCTCCCCCAACGAACAAGGAAAACAGACACGTCAGAAAACGCAACGTTTGTAAACACGTTTCGACGCTTACTATACCGGCGGACGGATAGTAATGGCTGCATGGGGACGGCCACGAATGCCTATATAGATAAAGAATACATTGACGCGCGAAGTGGTCCTGTGTTGATACTCGCAGCATGCAATAATAACTGGGTCTGGTGCACCGGAGATAAGGATGCGCGCCCGTGTCGGCCCAGATGCATGAAGAAGCGAGAGTGCGCCACCTTGCACGCGTTGCCTGTCAACACCTGCCCTCCAATGAGAACGTTTCTCTTGTTCGTTCGTTCGCCCGCTGTTTCGACAGTCGTCGCTGCAATGTTACGACATGCTGTATACGCAGCCTATTAATGATTATGAGCTTACTGAAGTGTTTCTTTCAAATAATTTTTTTTTCATAATTCAGAGTTGTCGTCTTCTTAGTTCCTTTTAAAGCGGTAGCGACACGCCCTCGAGACAACACTAAAGGGACATTTCTCGTCTCCTTGGTGTGGAGTGCTGACAATGTAGGCACAAGAACGTACAACGTCTCTAAATGTATTTTTCCACTTTAATTTCAAGATTTCACTGTCCTAATACTTTTCTACTTTAATTTTAAAATTTTGCTGTTCTAGTATGTGCAAGCAAGCACCACAGAAATGAACATTATCGCTACGAGTTAACATGGTACACGCATTTTCGATGGAACCAAAAATGCTTGCGGCTTGCGTACTTGGACTTAGGCGCACGTTAAAGAACGCTATGTGGTCGAAATTTCCAGTGCCTCCACTACGGCATTCCTCGTAAGCATACCTTGCTTTTGTACGCGAAATACTTAGTTATTATTATCAACATAGTTCACTGGGTTTGCCAACTTTGCGTCCTGCATGCATGCAGCCTGTGTCACTGTCAGCGTTGCTGAAAGACAATTCATCCATCGTTCTTTACGTGCAACACGTGTGACTGCAACTGCAAGTAGATATGACAAAGCTGCGGCTAGTGCGTCGTGTCTCTCCCCCGTACACGTGAGATTGTGTTCACATGTCACTAGGAAACGACTCTGTCAATATCAAAACGGAAAGTTTTCTTTTAAGGCAACGGTATATATTAAAATATATTTAATGTACTACTAAGCACCATCATACGATTTATGGGTTCTTCAAAACAGTGTTTTCATGTAAAGCAGGAGTCCGGAAACATTTAAAATTTTCGTCAATATTTTAGCTGTTCCTTTCGGGAAACAGTTGCTAGGCCGTTTCTTTCTTTTCTCGCTGTCTTCGCAATGTTTTAAAAATATAATTGTCAATATGCTACTCGTAATAACAAAGAACAATTTATTGACAT